CCACAACGCCCGGCTATTTTTTGGTTGTAGCCGTCATTGTTGTTTGGCGGTCGGGCTGGGGATTCAAACCCGCCACCTTAGGTGTACGTGGCTGGCGCCTTAGCCGGTTGAGCTATAGGCGCCGAGCCAGAATAAACAGTCTTACAAAGAAGATACACAAATAGCTAATAAAAGCAGGAAAAGATGTTCAACATTATCAGTCATCAGAGAAATATAAAACTACAGTGAGATACGATCTCAAACTCACTAGGATGGCTATAATAGATAAGATGGACAATAACAAGCGCTGGTGACAATGTGGAAAAATTGGAGACCAAGTAAACTGCTGGTGGGAATATAATATAGTGCAGCTACTTTGGAAAACAATTTGGCAGTTCCACAGAAGGTTAAAAATAGAGCTATCATATGACTCACACTCCTAGTTATATACTTCAGAGAAATGAAAACGTAAGTCCATACAAAAGCTTGTACACATATTTTCATGGCAGTATTTTTCATAGTAGCCCAAAGTAGAAACAACCCAAAAGTCCCTCAGCTGATACATGGATAAATAAAATGTGATCTATCTATATAATAAAATATTATCTGGCAATAAAAAGAAATGAAGTACCAATACATGGTGCAACATGGATAAGCCTTGAAAACATTAATCTAAATGAAGGAAGTGAACCATATATATAAGATTCCGTTTATATGTAATGTCCAGAATAGGCAAATCTATAGAAACAGAAGGTAGATTAGTGGTTGCATAGGGATGGGGAGGTTGGAGGATGATGGCGAAGGACTACGGCTTTTCTTTATTTTTTTTTGAGGTGATGACAATGTTCTAAAATTGATTGTAGTGATAGTCTTACTACTCTCAATACACTAAAAAACACTGAATTTTGAACTCTAAATGAATGAATCATATTGTATGTGAATTATATCTCAGTAAAGCTGTTAAAAAATAGCAGAAAAGACTGCTTTGTAATTAATCTTGTAATACAGATTAAGAGCATTTGCCTGTCCAAATGGGAAAAAGTACAAGACAATGTGGGATATTTAATCCACCACAAACATCTAACCAACACAAAAGGTAACTTCCCAGTCAATGACCACTTTTTTTTTTTTTGGCAAAGAGAAAAAACTGTTGGAAAGGAGTCATAAATATGCATATCTCATAGTCCTATCTTGAGAACTAGCAGAAAGTTTTTCAAGTAGAAAATTAGGTCAACCTAAAATTATGATCCACAGATAACTCAACAAATTTAACAAACCCAAGAATAAAAAAAGTGCATGAAGTAGCAGGCACCTGTAGTACCAGCTACTTGGGAGACTGAGGCAAGAGAATCGCTTAAGCCCAAGAGTTGTAGGTTGCAGTGAGCTGTGATGCCACAGTACTCTACCCAGGGCAACAGTTTGAGACTCTGTCTCAAAAAAAAAAAAAAAAGACACAAATAAATGCATATATAACTGCTGAAATTTGAACAAGCTCCATGAATTGTGCCAATATCATATTGCTCAATACTTGGGTTAAGTGGTAAATAGTAGGGAAGGCTGGGGGGAAGTACGCAGAACTTTTCTGCACATTTCTTTGCAACCTCCTGTGAATCTGTAATTATTTCAAAGTGAAAGAAAAAAATGTTTTTGAGACAAAGTCTCTCCTGTTTACCCTGGGTAGAGTGCTGTGGCATTGTAGCTCACAACAACCTCAAACTCTTGGACTCAAGCAATCCTCTTGCTTCGGTCTCCCAAGTAGTTGGGACCATAGGCTCCCAGGACGCCAGGCTAGTTTCTCTGATTTTAGTAGAGATGGGGTCTTGCTCTTCCTCAGGCTGGTGTCCACCTCCTGAGCTCAAGCAACCCACCTGCATTGGCCTCTGAGAGTGCTAGGATTAGAGGCATTAGGCGCAATGCCCAGATTAAAGTAAACAAAAAAAA